CATGGCATCACGTGGGGCTGCAAAACCCCTCTGTGCCTGCACCCAGGGCACCCTCTCCTCACAGCATCTCCTTCCCTGTCTGGGACATGGTGCCTTTCCCCCCCATGAAAACCAGGTCAAAGGTCTGCAGGAGTTGGTCCCCCAGCAGAGGGCAGGGCTGCTAGCGGCCCCTGTGTCCCTTGCCTCCAGGAGGAGCACTTGGCCCAATCCCCCACTCCCCAGACAAGCCAGGCTCTTCTCCAGCTCCTCCTTCCCTACAGTCCTCCGCACTGGGCATCTCCAATGCTGCAGGCTGGTCCTCCTCTGGAGGAAAAAACATGTGTTTGCAGCCAACCCAGAGAACCATTTCTCCCTAACATACTCACTTTTAATTTGCTCACCGAACCAATAAAGCAAAAATGAGAAATGGCAGCTAATTAAATGTATCAATTCATATGACATTCAAAACTATTCGGAGTAGGCTAGGATGAGCAGCCCGGAATAAGAAGAGGGAATAACAAGGCTGCAATACTCCACACTAGTGTATCCGCACTACTTGCAACTTCTTACCACAGGAAAGACTCTTCTCATCTGATGATACTGCTCCTACAGGGCATTTTCCCCCAAAATACCTAGTTGTTTTCTCACCAGAGAAGGCTCCAAGTTTCCCCTTACATCAGCTCTCTATTTTCACTGCAGCTTGGCATGCCCTATTTATTTCTAAGATTAGCTGTCAACAGGCAGACAAAAATCCAAAAAAGGAGAAATGCAGTTTGAACACGTGCTTTCTACAGCAGTGGCACAGCTCAAAGGTTACTGCATGCATTCCCCTCTGACCTTCACATCTATGAAGCCTTATGCAAACATACAAAATACTGCTGTCTTTTTGATTCAGGTACATGCAGTTACATGCATTAGTAAACTTTAGGGAAGAAATTATTGGAAGGAAAAGAAGAGTGCCTTGGATAAGCAAATCCAGACAGCTTTCAATCTAGACGGTCCACAGTTCATTCACGCTAACCCCCAATGAATATTCCTTACTATAACAGAACAGCCTTCAGCACCAAAGCTGCAGCCTGCAGCACACCCAGGACTCGGGTCAGCACCAGGGACCTGGGTCTCTGCATGGGCTGGGGTTCACCAAGCAGGAACCCACAGTTGCTCAGATGGAGAAGGTGCTTATGACAGCACAGGAACTCCGACTGCCTGTGTCTGGCCAGCACAGATTTGGAGAGGGAAGAAGCTGCAGAATCCTCACTTCAAGAGGGGCAAAAACTTTGTGTCTTAATTAAAGACAAGCCAAGCGAAGAGCATCTTGGCAGCTCTCTGCTGGTGACAGAGTTATGAATAGACTCAGGAGCACCTGCAGCCACCCATGAGGTGAGAAACTGCCACACTCTTGTTCTGCGTTACCCATGTCATCATCTCCCCACTCCTCCATCTTGTGTAACTACTGACAGCTATCCTCGTGGGAGAGGAAAATAGAGTCAAAAACTGGGATTGAAAGCTTGCTCCCGCCCCTGTGGACACAGGCTACAAGGTCCCTCTGATCACACATACCAAGCAGAAGCCACCAGAGTCTAGATTACAATGGGAGCAGAGTCCCCAAGTGCAGCAGTAGCATCTGAGGACTCCAAAGGAACAGTGATCCTCACTGAGTTTTGTTACACTGATTTTCTACAGTCTCACGGGTGAAAGCTTTTGGTGAAAGCTACACACCTAGATCCAGAGTTCAAAAAAAATGGATGTTACCAGCCTTTATTTGCATGCATAGTCTGAACGGTGTGTATATTATACATACACAGTTTTTTCAGAAGGCTTTGTATGTGAATTGCAAAGGTGGAAATAAGTCTCATGCAAAACATACAGAAGTAACATTAGGATATGAACAATTATTTGGAGAAAAAATTACGCTAGATACAAACTTTTTATAGCCTAAGGAATTATCACTGCGAAGAACATGTGTTGATTGCCACTAGTAAATCACATTATGGTAAAGAGCTCTGCCAGGGAAACATCACAACACTTTGCTTTCTATAAAGCTTGGACACCAAAAACTCCTATTAAAACGGAATCACATTTAACATTAAAGAGAGAAAAGCTAATGACTTCATTCAACCTTTCGTTTGAGATTTGTAATCAGTATAAGAATATGTAGTGCATTTGGCCTGGAAAAGGCTTCTTAGACCAACCCAGTGAACATCAAAACTTCAAATGCTTTTTGTTCACAGCTCCAATGGTTTATGAACTTCAGTAATACTGCAGCTAATATAGCAAGTGCATTCAGCATTTCACATTCTTACATAGGATATGATGAATTGAGATGAAATTTATGAGTATCCTGAGGAAGCAAGTTGTATCCAGATACTTTAAGCACAAAACATCGACACTGATGAAGCAGAAAGCCAAGTATCAATTACTTCAGAAATACTCCCCAGAAATACCCCCCCCAAAAAATTTTGCAAAAAAAAAAATTAAACTTGATTTCTTTCTAAAGAAATAATTTTAAAGGTCTAATCTCTTTCTAGAAATGAATTAAAACTTCCCATGACTAAAATAAAACTCAGTTATCAAGTTCCTAATATAAAACACTAGCGCAGAAGGAAAAAACTGTTAGCAAAACATGTCCAAAAATGCACTGTAAGATTCCTAAACATATGAATAATAAGGAAATAGATTTTTTTTTTTAAATGAGGGAGAGTAATTTATCATGGGCACATTATAAGGAAATAAATCACTATTTTTTGTTAGTTTCTCTCTCTGCGTCTAAGGAGTCCATGATTTTTCAAACACCTAACAACTCTGCTTTTAGATAAGTTCCTTTGAGTTCTGAACTAGAGCTAGATGAAAAGTTGTGAACCTTCTTCCCCTTGGTCCTTTCATACTTTAGATATTTAACTAAATATAAAATATTTTAGGAGAATACAGAATAGCAGCAAGTGTAATTTTTCCTCATCCTCAACAACAGAGGAATACGACAGCTCAGGATATTTACAGCATTACTCATCAGCTTTCAAATTCCGAGTAAGCTTAAATCTGAGCCTCACGCAGGATTAAAACACAGAGCTATTAACTGCTGAAGAACATCCTGTCTTTTACCACTTCCCAGCTCTCTCTCAGCTTCTACCAGAAAATAAATCTATAATGTTCTTGCCAGGTTTCTATCCCCTACCTTAGAACATTAATGATATAGGACTTACTTTTTTGGAAAATTCTGGTGCCTTTTTTTCCCTCCCCTCACTTTCCTCTACTTTAGCTTTCTCCACAAACGAATCTAAAGTTACATAGTTACCACAAAAAAGTCGTGTAAAACGTACCACACCGCTGAGGTTCCTTCCAACTTCAGTTATGCTAAGATCCCATGATACAAAAGCCATAGACAAAAAAACAGTAAATTTAAATCACAAAGGACTTGCAACCACAACCACTTTCTCTGCTTAACTATAATATTCAGTTAGTTTGAAATTAAATACTGTTTTAAAAAATTTTTTTTGAACAGTCTGGTCTCTAGTATACTACAGAAGTGCGATTTCACAGTATGCACAATCTATAGCGTAAGTAACTATCAAAAATTGTAGTACTACTCTCTCTCAAATTATGCATTCCCGTCATCATCCTGATTAATAATTAGGCAACCACAATGAATTAATAAGCTGATCTGACCAAACAGTTGGTGAATTATTTTGTTTTGCTCATCTAAATCAGTAAATATAAAAAAGTAGTGAGAACACGTGCCCAGGAAAGTTGAAGACAAATCCTCATAGACTTGTTCTGTTCACTCTCTAACAAATTAGAATTTGCACGTGATGATCTTTGCCCTTCTCTTTTACATGAGCTTACTACTAAATAAAAGACAAAAAAGTAGAGTTTAACGCTAGAATGAAGTCATAGCTCCTTCAGGGTTTTTAAATCAGAAAGTCTCCCCTTTAACATTAGAAATCCAAAAATAAGTATTTCTGATTTCAACACAATTATTTCGTAGGCTTCTAAAGGAAAAATATAGGCAGATTGTAGGGCAGATTTCTTCACTGAACAGTGCTATGAACCACTTCTATTGACTTTTCATGGACTGCAAAACTTAAAACGTTTTAAGTGAGGTAAACATGATTAACTGCGTATTATAAATAGGAACTAGCATAGGGAGAGAAAACAGTTACCCCTAAAACTAGTAGGTCAGGGGAAACTGAAGTAAGATCAAGCGGTCAGGTTTTTAAGTCATAATTGAGTAACAGAATGCAGATAGGTACTTTCTGAAAACTGTATTTTTTCCAAAAGTCAACCTGTACAGCAATCTTCCTTTCTTCCCCTTGTCACATTGCCAAAAACATTTCCCTAAATGAAGATATTTTCAAACAATAACTACTTCCCCATATGAAGTATTTACTCCAGGTATGGCACTGTATTTCAAGAAAGCAGTCACCTCTACCAATCAAAAAAGCCAAAAACAAAACAAAAAATCCACACTTCTAAATGCAGATAACTCATTTGCAGGACAGTATGATACTTACTCATCCGTTTCTTCCCCAAACATGTGAATCCACAGTCCCCAGTGCTTCAGCTAATTAGCTGACCTTACTAAGCAAGGTTAAGTACTTGGTTGCAGAAAATATACTGAGAATTAAACGCAGAAGAATTATAAATCCATTAACAATTAATGCTAACTTAAATTTTGAGATTTGGAAGAGACTAGAAATTCAGAAAATTTTGAAAAAGCAATTTCCAGTTATTAGGATTATACGATTCAGATAGAAGTCAAGATAAAGCTGGAGAAGCAGCCTCAACTACGTAATTTCTTAAAGGCTGGAGAGCTTGATTTGGCAATATATTCATAACTTATATGAATACTTCCAGAAAATTGAGAAAATTTACACAGCCAATGTAATTTCACACAGAAGCACACAAAGAAAAACATATAATTTAGCAAAGAAAAAGGTAAATTTGATTGTAGAATACAAACCCATAAGCCGAGTAAGATCCACATCCAGTCTTCCTCTACATTTAAAATGTGAGCCCATTCCGCTGCGATACTCTGTGAAATGCATTCTTCTGATATCTTGTAATACCGAGGTCTGACATTTTACAAGATAATGAGAACATGAATAATAATGTATGCAAGCAGGAGGGGGAAAAAAGGACAGCTATACCTCCTGATATTTGAATTACACAATTGCCAGTAAAAGATTCCAATTAAAAGCCTTATTTGTACATCGGCTAATAAAATATCATTATCAGTTTCTCAAAGGGACATTTGAAAAAATTGAGAACTCCATGAAATATAGTATTTAATTACTCACTGAATGAGTACATCAATAGCTTAATTTAACTGCTTGATATACATCTCTGTACTACAGCATCAGGAACCTCTAAGATCACAAGATTCTGTGCTCCCAATTATCAGCTCTTATCACTGCAAGGTACTACATCTCAATTTCACATAGCAGAGAGCTCTCAGAGGAGAAAACCCTGAAAGCCAAACCAGTGATATTCTAAACTTTCAAATTAAAAAAAAAAAAAAAAATGTTACAAAAACATTGAAGATTCTCAAGTTTTATTAAACTCTTAATTTATTCATCTCATACATCAGTCATTGTTATCATCCCTTTATAACAAAGTATTATTTTTCAAAACAAGCCTTTGTATGTAGTACTTCCATATTGTTAAAGATACTATGCTTCCCCTTCTCCCCACTCCAAAAAAATCAACCATGATAGCTGATTCTTACTGGATATAATAACCATTCCTGATGAGAAGGAAGCGTGGAGGAATTGGCAGGAAGTAGTTTTCAGAAGATGCATCTTTCAACATATCATACAACAGATTATATACTTCATTAATATCAGTGCAAATATTGTCAAGGAAATGCACAAGAATTTTAAAAGCTCCCTACATGAGCATTCACATAATTAATATAAACCCTTTAACATTCTGAACTACTACCTTTATTAGTAAATACCCTTTTTGCTGCAACAATTATCCACAGAACCTCTGCTCCCTGTTGAACAATTAAAACATGTTTCATAACTACTGAGAAAGATTGCACTGTATACTCATTATCACAAAATCCTATAAGCATATTTCACACAGTTTTCATTTTTACTTTGAAGTAAGTCTGTCTATTGGCAAAAAGCACACGGGTTAATCATTTTAATTTCTTAAAGATGACAATTCCCAGAATTCTATACCCCCTTCATTGGTACCCACGTTTCTCAGTTTCTTCAGTACTAACTACTACTTTTTCAGATTCAGAGAACATCAAGCAAGTGTTCTGGAGTCGTAACTTGAAATTTACTGCTTCTTCACATCTACAGAAGGCATGCATCTTAATGGTTTCCAAACCCATTTGAAAAATTTTTCTGAATTAGTTATCAAACCTATCATTTTATTTCAGACTTAAAATTCAAGTATAACTTTACATCTTCATGTCTTAGAAACCAACAGAGTATTTAGTTTAAAAATTGGTATTTATGAAAAACTAATTCAGTTCTTAATGACTTGCATTTGATAGAAATCTATCAATATAGACACTAATTTTCTAACTAAATTTCTAACAAAAACACGTGGACTGAAATCTGGTGGTGAAAATCCTTAGGAAGACATGTAATTGAGATAGTCAGCTGCATTCAGAGAAGGCTACCTTAAGTTTAATAGAACTATTAATCCGTACATTAGAACACCATTTCTATAAAGGATATTCCATTTCAGCTCCAATATCACTGAGACGATGTGACAGCTCAATTAGGTCTTCTTCTTTGTTTTCATCAAACACTTTTAACTGAATATCAAACTCTTCATTCTTGCTACCTTTCAAGTTCTATTTTTCAAGATACAGAATATCTTAATTTTCCATTTTTTCCTTAAAGTAACAATTTCCCCCCTTCAAAGACTACATCACTGCAAAATATAATATATTAACCTTGCGAGCAGAAAATACATGATTTAAAAGGATATGTTGTAACTCATTTTCTGATTTTAAATATTAGTGCACAGTTGATTAAAGGCAACAATATCAGCCAATATAGCAGGTACAGGCTGCAGTAGAAACATAAAACCTTCTAATAGAGTTAAGTTCTCTTAACAGAGCATAGCTGACAATTCAGTCTTGTCAATCTCAGTTCCTCTTAAAAAAAAAAAAAGTGTAAGAATATTTAAGATATCAAAGAAACCAAGCTAAATGCAGCTAAAGAAGGCTAAAAAAGTGTAAATGAGGGATGCTTACAACTTTTGTTATTAGACGTTAATCTAGATCATAGCATAAAAACCATCTATAGTGCATTCTCAGAAATACTTACATGAGAAGTAAAAAAACAAAACAGTTCACTTTTGTTTACTCAAATCATAAAAACAGATGTCAAGAGATGAACATTGCCATAAAAACAGTAACAAAACTTCAGGACACAAGTAAAACAACTTTGTCTAACGTAAAACGCAATCCGTCGTTACGTTAGCAACAACGTAATGTAAGAGGCAATAGCATGCTGGTCACATAAACCCCAATAGGGTATATTCAGGTATTGCAATGCAAACACACAGAAATAATTACAGTGGTACCAAATTTATTATTTATATATCACATATATATATATAACATCAGTTAGTAGAAACAACATCAAATATTGTATTGCAAGTGCTTCTGCTATTTTAAAATTGTATCACCTGTAAAGGACCAAGCTTTAGTTCAGAAAATTATTCCCATACTACATTTCCACACTGCTACTCCTTCTCTTCCTCCTCAGTGTTCTCCAATTTGAATATAACTTGTTTTTGCAGTAACTGGAGATTAAAAAAAAAAAAAAAACACACATCAACACAACTAAAATAACCAGGTATGTAATTTCTACTCCTGCACAGCATTTCTGCAAAATGCCTGAAATCTCAGGCTACTGGCTAATGCTATAACTGAACAGCTCTGCATTTTAACTGATTTATTTTAAAACTGGCAGACAATAGCAGTAAGAAGTGGTGGGAGGAGTGTGATAAGTGGTAGTGGGGGGGGGAGGGGGACATCATGTGCCCAGAGAGGGTGATACTTTAGCATGAGTGGTGATACCTGGCCAGGGGGTGATATACTGGAATGGGAGCATGATAAGTGGGGGGGTGGGGGGAGAGGGGAAGAGGACGACCTGTCAAAACAGAGGAGTGATGAGTGATGGTGGTGGGATCTTCCATACCTGATAACACTACAGTGACAACACTTACCAGCAGCAAACATGCATTACACATTCAGCATGCCCAAGATCTTCTCCACTACCACCTCATGTCGCCACTGCTTTGGCTCACTGAAAGGATCAGGAAGGAAACCTTACAAGGAAGCCACCTGTTACTCGCATTACCTTGAACTTCCTCTTTTCTCTTCCCCTGCTCCCTCCCACAAAAAGGCTCTGAAACCAATTCAGAAATAAGTTTCCTGTTTACACAGTAAGAGCCTTTATTTACTACAAACTCCTAAGGGCATTTTGTTTTCTTTAACAGAGAAGGTGTGGCGATCTTACAGTATTCACTACACCTTTAAAATCAAACACTACCACACCCAGGTGACTGAATACCTTCTGTAGCTGTAACAAATCCGACAGCGTTTTCCATGTGGGGACTCATTCCTGAATTAAATTTCTAAGGTATTTCTCAATTTTTACAAGTCAGAGGAGGTTATGGTTTATATTAACGTATAGATTACAATATCATACAGTCGCCTTAACAAATATTTTTCAGATCTACCAACTTGCATGCATTGTGCTGCTTTCATATCATGTCCAGATAAACAGCTACCATCAGAAGAGGGCTGAAAAGCAGACACAATGGTGTTTTAACAGTATTAATGGATGAACTCAGACAAACCAATAGAAAAGGAAGAGTTCCAGTGCGCCACAACTCTGGCCGTACTAAATCCAGTAAATAATCCACAAAGAGAAGAAAAAAAATAAGGGGGATTTTTTGACTGGATCAGTCTCTATCCTTTTTGTTACTCTGCCACACAAAAACTTTAGTGAGTATAGCACACAGATCAGCATGGTGACTGTTTAAGCAAGCACTGCTGCCAAAAAAACTTAGTGAGCCTTATCCCCTCCCTGCGATTCTGACTGCATTAGAACAAACAAAGCAGCAGCAGTCACTTCGGCCCAGACCCACGAAGCACTCAGCTCTGCTACAAATAGCTCTTTCAGAATAAATCTGGCTGAAGTCTTTATGCCCACAGGTGCTCGTTACACTTCTACTAAGTTATGCCTTAACAGTTTACACCACTTCTATGAAACAGAGCTGTGAAGTCATTAAAGAGGTTTTTGTTTGTTTAAGACTCTAGTAAATTCAGTTGTGAACACCTTCCATTAAAGAAAACTAGAGAAAAGCAGCTGAACTGGAGCAAAGTTTTGAAATGCTCCTTCCTTCTGCAAGCCCGCTCACAATCTTTAAGAACCTGACAGCATTTTCATCCCAGCTCTGCATACCTGAGTTGACCAATCCTACACTATTAAATCTCACAGGACATATTTGATTATTAACATTAGCACCCATTCTGAATTACTTCCTGCTCTATGCTTCTTTCTCCTCCTCACCCAGGGAAGACCCTGAAACCCTGTCATGTATTAAGGATGTCAGTACCACAAAGTGTTCAAAAATATATACACACACACACACACACACACATATATATATATATATACACACACACACTATATTGGGCACATTATGTACACGCTGCATTATATTTCCTCCTATGCATGAAAGAGGTCACAAACAGGAAATCTCTGAATTCCTGTCAATTCGTAAGTGTCACCAACTTTGAGTTCTTCTTCCATTCTTTTAAAAATCACAGCATACTACAAGCATTTTAGCTTCTCTACACTGAAGACAGAGATCTATATCTTAAAAGAGGTACCTTATACATGAAATCTCAGAGTAGCTGAAGTTCTGCAAGTGATATATTCACAAACTTCTCTTGGTAGCAGTTTGCTCTTCCAGGAATCAAAAATTCTAAAACCAACATCTGCTGCTGTCCAAAGAGGATAAACATGTCATGCTGCATCATGCCACGCTGCATCATGTCACACGCAACAGATGTCAAAGAACCTTGATTGCATTTTTAAATCCATTTCTGAAACATTATTTTCTACCTTCAGTCAGTTAAAATGCCTATTAAAGAGTAATGTTTGACCACTCTTCACAAGAGCTAGAGCTGAAATCAGTAAAAACTACTTAGTATAAATATTTTATTTGTCAACGAGTAGCTAAAATTGATTTATGTTCAATGACAGCACTGTGCAACACTTTAAAATTAACACATTTACACAAGTATAGTAAAGTAATACTATGAGAAAATAGTCCTGTTTTTCTAAACAAAATCTAAATATTTCTTATATTAAAAAAATTAAGAGGAAAAAATTGTTAGCTATCTAAAATACTATTTACTAAACCATTTTGGCAGCTCTAAATCCAGATGATTTAGAACCACAGGAAGTTCCATCTGAACCTGAGAAAAAACTTCTTCACTGTGAGGGTGACAGAGCATTGGAACAGGTTGCCCAGAGAGGTGGTGGAGTCTCCTTCGCTGGAGATATTCAAAACCCGTCAGGATGTGATCCTGGGCAATATGCTCTAGGTGACCCTGCTTGAACAGGGAGGTTGGACTAGATGATCTCCAGAGGTCCCTTCCAACCTAAACGATTCTGTGATGATAATCTGGATTTACTCGGATCATGAATATGATACACATCTGCTATTCACTTGGTGATATATCCAACTATCGCTCCAATTTGCTAAGCAATATGCTGTGAAACACCACAACAGTGCATGAGACTGCCAGAATGTGGCATTCCATTGTAGGTAAAAAAGATAATATTCACCAATATCTTAGGTGTCTTTTGCGGGAAAAACCTAACAGCAAAATAGTTAATCGAAGAAGATCAAGGGCAAATGTATTTTAACCATTGCAGATCTCTGTCTTTTATCCAAGATGTTTAATGTGACCTTTTAAAGGTCATTTTAACGTTCTAAGTCCAAACTGCACGTAATCTGTTCAAAATTACGAATGTTGCCTAGCAATTGTAGGTATTCTATTCAGGTTATTTTTTGAAGTAAGTGACTGCTTAAGCATTTCTTCCATTTTCACCCCCTTTTCCCATAAAATGGACTAACGGTCAACAAGAAGAATATATTTGCATTACCAACTGTTTTAGTACGGGCTCCTGTCAAGCAAGGTAGCTTGTCAGAAGATAGCTTTAGCTTGTCTACCTATTAGGAAGTTATGCTTGAAAGCAGGAGATTATAGATGTTCCCTCCACCAATATTGCGGAGAAAAGGTACTTGACTGACAAGACCTTAAGTGAAAAATCTATTTGATACAAAAAACAACATACAAGTTTAGGCTGGCCTAAATTAGGTTTACTTGCCTGCAACTTCCTAAATTGATATAAATTGTCTTCTGTTAATCTTCTTTCAAAATTATCTGCTCTCCTCATCATGAATCCTTTCTATTAAAAAGACTTTTCCTCCAAAATAGAGTTATTAAATGATAAAAAATACAAAATAGAACCTTGATATACAAGTTGCAAGCAACTGTGCAAAAACATTCAGTTTAGTCATTTCCTAACTTCTTGTGGTTTTAAGGCTGAGCGAGTAAAATGATGAATAACTAAATGAAGTTGTCAGTTGCTTCAGCAGCAAGGATCATCTCTTTCTTTTCCACTTTACCTTCTAGATTTGGACAGGGGTAAAAACAATTACAGAGATTGTATTAGGCAGTACTGCATATCTCTAAAGAATTGCAATTGATGAAGATAAAGTCATCTTTTAACACAGCCAACATTTTTTAAGCCTATCCTTCCCTTCACATATGAACTTGGGTCATCAGCAATCGCAGTATCATTAACATAAAATTTGGAGGCTAACTGTAAAATAAATATATAAATATATAAACCATAAGCTCACCCTTACTAACTTGAACATTGAGCACCCCAGTGCTTAACACTAAGAAAGCATCACTTCTATTTGACGCATACACTGTCAGTTTGTGCTATAATTGTCTTTCTTGTCGCCCAGAGAGAATTAGTTCTGCTTGTAAAGCTTCCTGTACAGTGTGACCTAGCTCAACTGCTTCGTCTTACAAGAAGTACTCCAGGAAGTTTAACTACCACAAGCAGACAGGCTTGTCACTGTATCTATCATCTCACCTAAACAGCAGCCCTCTCTACCACACTAGAGTTAGTGCCTGCTCTAATACCAGTATCTTCTTCTCCTAAAGAAACAAGTTTCCAGAAGGTGTCAAGTTCACTCTTCAACAACAGCTACCTCTTAACTTCACCTAACTGGAATAAAGTGAAAAAAAAAACAAACCTGCAGGGGCTCAAGTCCCACTCCACAGGCCTGACGCCCCCAAAAGCTTGTTACACCACCCACCGGACGCGGCCGA